CACAGGATAAGAGGGTTACATTCCTTACAACAGAGGATCAGGTGAATTTATTTAATTATAGCACTAAAGAAATTGTGTGGCATATTACATTGTCAATGATTATGATGAGCCTATTATGACTGTCAGTAAGGCATGCTTTATTAAAATTGTTTTAAAGAGAGGAAGCGGAATGATGCTCCAATTAATCTCATGTAAACAAACTCATAGAAAGATTGATAGACAGATTTGTGACTGCAATGTGAACTGCCATGTGTTATATCTATACTACTTTCCCTCTCATATGGTACTGAATGCATGTGCCTTTACTATGCACAGCTTGTATTTGTAGTGGCACTATATAAGCAGAAGCCATTATTTATACTGATAGACTGGACTATTTTTGTTTCTTTTGTCAGGGTGTTTTTACTGATTTGAGAGGTAAAGCATTTGAAGTGCAGGTTGGATTGCATGAACTATTAGGACACGGATCAGGGAAACTGTTCAGTAAGGTAAGTCTCATTAATTCATTGTTATAGTTGATGGTATGAGTCTATAATAGGATAAGAATGGAGTCTTTAACTTTGAACAAGATAAAGTTATTAATCCTTTGACTGGAGATAAAGTTAGCTTCATCATAATAGATGTACATACACTGTATACTACAAGTGTTTCTTGCTCTCAATATTGTTATTTTTTTAAATTCATGTATGATGCACATTCATACACACATGTGGACATGTACTGTACAATGTCCACATGTGTGTAGGTTCAATTGTTATGCAGACATTACATCTACATATAGTGTCAATTTATGCATGTAAATGTAATGTGTAAAAATTGATGATGCCAGCCAAGATATAAGCTAGGCATGCTCTTGTTTACACTATAAGCACAAGTTCTAGAAGCACAAGTTTATTTAAGTTACCGTATAGCGCTTTATTTTCGAGGAGCTAAACTTTCGCTATTTTCGCGGTTAGCATGAAACCGCGAAATTAAAGATCCGCTAAAATTTCAATTGCCATTAAAGGTGTGGCACTAACATTGCGAATCTGCAAAATTTGATTTTTATCAATCCGTGAAATTTTAGCTCCGCAAAATTAAAGCACTATACGGTACTCACTATAAGCACAAGTTCTAGAAGCACAACTCGTACTTCTAAAACTTGTGCTTATAGTGAGTAACTTAAATAAACTTGTGCTGCACAAGTTTATTTAAGTTACTCATGCATGTTTCTCAATTTGCCTAAACAATCTAGACATGTATGAATATGCAATTTATGCATGTAATGTATGCAATTCATATGTGTAATGTCACACTGTGTGGAATGAACAATTGTACCATCTACCATTACATTTTATTCTAAATTTATTCTTTGTTATGCTGTGACTGGTGACTTGTGATAGTAGTGCATGTACATTATAGATAAGGAGTTGGTATAATCCAGGAGAGACATGGGATACACAGTTTAGTACAATAGCATCAACTTATGAAGAATGCAGAGCAGAATGTGTTGGTATATACCTCTCCACTGACAGGAATATATTGCGGTAAATATGGGTGTGGTCTACATTATCTATGGCTCCGCCTATTTCTAGTATATTTGGTTATGAAGGAGCTGAAGCTGAAGACATAATGTATGTGAATTGGTTGAGCATGTTGAGGGCAGGACTTATAGCATTAGAGTTTTATACACCTGAAACAAAGAAATGGAGACAAGTATGTTACTGATCTAATCTTTATTTATACACGACTGCTCATTATTGCACATTTAGAAGAATACAGGCATGTATATGTACATGTACATGCATGTATATTCAAGCAAACTAGCAATATAAGAATGATGTTGTATTTGTATGATATACAAATGGCCAGATGTGTCAATAAGTATACTCTCAGACACTGTTGCTATGGTTGCCCTCATCAGCTGCTAATATTACTACTCTATACTGATCTATGTTACTGGTCTCATTCTAATCCAATGTTGTTCCACCCACCACTCATAGGCTCACATGCAGGCTCGTTATGTTATATGC